TGTTGTCACCAGGGAACGAGTATGCATTATTTCAGACCGAGGAGCCGGGATAAAAGCAGTAATGGACTCTTTGGGTACAATGTATAGACCTCCACATGTTCAACATCGTTATTGTGTCCGCCATATTGCTGTAAACTATTACGGAAAATACAAGAAGAACGATGAACGTCAATTAGTCGTACGGATGGGTATGTTACTTTTTCCCAATTTTTCTATCAATTTCTTATTACTTATTTATACTTCATATTGACTTTTACATATTCCTAATGGCTTAGGTTACGAACTCTTACCTCAAAGGTTTGAGTCGATGCTACAAGAGCTGTTTGGCAAAAATAAGAAGGGGTGCGAGTACATTATGGACATCAGCAAAGAAATGTGGACAAATGCATATGACGGGGGGTATCGCTATGGTTATATGACAACAAACTTGGCTGAAGCAATAAATTCAACCTTAAAGGGGGCGCGTCATTTACCAGTCACGGCGTTGGTTAAAACAACTTATTTTCGTTTGGGTCAACTCTTTGCAAAGCTCGGTGGACAAACTCTTACTTGGATGTAAAACGGACATATTTACCACCCAAGACTAGTAGTTGATTTACAGAAAAAAGTGGCTGCATCAAATGGGATATTAGTTACAAATTTTTCTCGCACTCGTGAATTGTTTCGTGTAACCGAAATGCCACGTCCGCTGCAAGGGATTGGAGCTAACTCTTTCAGAGTTAATCTGCAAGAGAGGTGGTGCGATTGTGGTTTCTTTCAAGCACTTAAATATCCATGCTCTCATGTCATTGCTGCTTGCTCACATTCGCATTTGGACTACAAAAATTATGTCGATCCCGTATACCAACTTTCACAAGTATTCAAGGTATATGAATTTGAGTTTCCGCCCATAGGAAACGAAAGAGACCCAAATGAGATTCAAACTTGGCTTACAATTGTACCATATCCATTGCTATTGAGGGACTCAGGTCGTCCAAAATTTACTAGAATACATTGTGATATGGATATTCGGGAGAAGTCAACAGAACAAAAACGATGTGGGCATTGTAGAAACATTGGGCACAATAGAAAAAAAATGTACAGCTCTATTATCATCATATAACCGTTAACTCTTATGTAATTAATATTGTATTTAAATGAATGTTTTTGTTTCTAATAATTTAATGTTATTGCATTTATATAATTTGTCAATGTATGTACACCTAAATAATTTTTTTTAACTTTTAAATACATAAATATTTTTAATATATTTATTTAATATAATAATTAATATTATTAGTTATATTTTTTTTAAAAATATAATAATAATTCTACCTTCTAAGTAGAGAAAAATATTAAATTAAACAAATTAAAAGTTATTAAAAAATTTATGTATACGATGACACATTTCATGTTCTGATTGGAGGATTAAATTTATTAAATTAAATTTTCAATAAGACTAATTTCATAAAATATGTAAGTCTCGAAGATTAAATATGTAATTATACTAATTTATTAACTTATGCATCAATATTTTCGTTAAATATTAATATGAGATGACTAGGTTGATAACATTTAAATAATTAACTGATAAAATTAATAGATCGATAATCAAAATCAAAAATAATAATATAACCATATGTGTAATATTATAATTTCATATATTTTTCCTATAACTACAATAAAGTCAAAACTGGTTTTCATATATTGTTATATCATATTAATGTAGATAATTCACTCCACCTTTAACACACATTAACAAAATACATTTGATAATTCTTACATTATAATCGAAACACTTTATATAATATATTATTAATTTATAATAATAATAAAAATAAAATATTTATTATTAAATAAAATACGTGGCAGTCGACCTGGCGAAAGACGCGTTCTCGAGGATGCGTCTTCCACACGTGGCATCCAACTCAGCGAAAACACGGGTAAGGCGCGTCCCCGGGGACGCGCCTTTCGCCAGCTCAACAGAAAATGTGTTACTTCGAAAAATATTGATCAAACGATGTCAGAAAGAGGATAATAAAAAAAATTAGTGTAAGTTATGTCAAATACCCCTCGAATTCACCCTATGGAATAGTGGGGATAGATTGGGACTGGAACTTTGTACCTGCGTGTCAAGATTCTATTGGAACAATATCCATATCTCACAGATTGTCCAAGAAAGACAAAACCCTTTGCTATGCGTCATTTGTTGATTGTTCATCGATCAAAATGACCCAAGCTGTCTTGTCAGCTATGTTCATTCTAGAAATTTAAAAGTTTATGTCATTATCATATAGCAAATCCAATCACCATAAAACCCTTGAAATTGTGAAAGAAAAGCACCCAGTCCGGTGAGACTTGTTGCATCACGAGCAAATATTACAGCAGTAATTCCTACAAGCACCCATAGTTGAGACTTGACAGCGGAGCCTGACAATTTGCTGCCATCACTGTCACATTTTTTCATGAAAAGGGTAAAAGAAAATTTGGGCCAAAGGTGATGGGTGTCTGTCTTCACTTGGATTTGTTAAATCATTCCTTGAATTATTAATTCTGTCTCTTGTGATTTCAACGGTGGAAATTGATGCAATTGCAATAGGTAAGACGGTGACAAGTATGGAGATTCCTTTCCATATTTATATTATTGTTCATTCATTGTCATATGCACTGATATAGAAAAAAAAAACCTTGCTGCAGAGCACAGGATCACTGGTCTGCATGTGCCCTCTGCCTCTTTCCTTTTTACAAACATAATCAGTATCTGATTGTTTGATTTCGGGTTCTTCCCCTTTGCTGTTAAAACGTTGACGAATTTCCCTTTTGAAAGGCATGTAGTATTCTGATGTGTTTTTTGGTGGGTTTCGAAGTAGATTTGAGGTGTTTCGTCGTCTACAAGAGAGGGTTTAGCCATTAGGGATGTTTGATGGAGGCTTGACCATGTCTTTCCATAAAGTGAACTGCCCATCAGCTGTGGGTTATTTAAGTAAAACCAGAACTCATTGTAGAACAAGACATAATCCATGTTTCGCGGTGCAAATGTCTTCAACTCTTGTGCAAACCGATGAGAATGGAGATCATTATGAATCCAAAAAGATATCAAGTTCACCTTCAGCGCAACTAAAAAGTCAGCCCCAGAGTTCCCTGCTTAGCCAAGCGAATACCGTCGGTATAATTGGAGGGGTTTCTGTTTTTTCCACTCTTATTTTCCTTGAGAAACTTGTTTGGTGGAGCTCGAGGAATGGGGAAGAATGTGTTCCTTTCGTCGTCTGCAGTGATCCGGCCCTAGACGGAAGCGGCAATTCGGTTCATTCATCTTTAAGTGAAATTGCAGAAAATGAAGTTACACATGAACATGTTATTGTCCACAGTCTGAAGCAGAAGAGAGTGTTTCTTGAGAAATCTGGAGCTCGATGCATTGTTATGCCATGCCATATCTCAAATGCATGGCATGATGAGATATCCGAGAGCTGCACACTGCCATTTTTCCATATTGGGGAATGTGTTGCCAGGGAGCTCAAGGAAGCAAAGTTGAAGCCACTTGATGCTGGAAGTAATGTTCGGATTGGGGTGCTTGCCGCTTGCGAAACTGCTGTCGTTCCATACGAAGAAAAACTACAGAATCAGGTATCCCATTACCCAACACTTGCCCTTATGTTCATTTCTTTATACAATTGATATACACTGTATGGTTATAGAAAGCTCAATTTCAGTCCTGGAAACTTTGGGTCATGAAATCTGCAATCAATGTCCTAGAGAAAGTGCTCAGTCTTGCTAATAGAGGAAACAGAGGAACTCCACTGTTAGCAAAGTTTTTCTAAGGACCTAATGCTTGAATTTGCAGGGGTTTGAGGTTGTTTTGCCAGACAAGGAGACCGTGGAACACATTCTAACGCCGGCAATCGAGTCGCTGAACCAACGTGACGTTGAAGGGGCTCGAAACCTACTGAGAATTGCAATCCAGGTCCTTCTGATTAGGGCTGTGAATGTTGTCATCATTGCTTCAGAGGAACTGCAGAATCTTTTACCTGGAGAGGATCCTCTCCTTAAGAAATGCATGGATCCGATGGATGCTTTAGCCAGGACAACTGTAAAATGGGCTAAATCTGCAAAGAAGGTACATAAGAGAACTTGAACAATACTTGGCATCACGTTGCCAAAATGGTGTCAAAGCTATTGCTGTCTTGTAGGGTATATTTGTCTATCAGAAATTCACGGCGTCTTGTTCATATTAAAACAATCAAATATAAATCCATAACCCATCAAAATTCCAAATCCCAAGTGTTCTAATAATGTATGAAAGGCCATTAAAAACAGCTAAATAAGAAAGAAGAGTATGTATTTGGTTCAAAAGAAACTCTTCTTTACTTTTAAGTATTGGTTGCCATCATGCATGGCTCTCTGAATATTCTGCTTGGTTTTTGACTTAAGAGGGAATTGTGGTGTTTCACAGGCATCACTAAGCTGAAAAAAGCTCAGACATTTTACGACGGTGTCGTCCCGAGAATATAATATCTGATTTATTACGTGTTCTAACCGATCAAACAATCAAAAGATCTTTAGTAGTCTTGAAAGGAGACAACAAAATACGCATACATAGATAAATACTTATGCTGATCAACTACACTCGTTAAGCTGCATAGTTTGAAAATTTTGATGTTAATTACGTGAGAGCTGAGCAATGGCCAAAGAAAATGAATGGAAAAGTGGGATTTGACTTGCTTTTGACTTGGCAATGGCCATTGCATCATGCTTTCAAAGTAAGAGCATCTGGTTCTTATCTTCATTATTGCACATGACATACATATAGTTCCAAAAAGGTCTTATGCTTAAAAGAATCATATATTATTGCGCTGAGAGAAAGCCTGCCTTTTGAGACGAACTGCTGACCGAGATTCCTTGAATCTTTATTTGTAAAGTTTAGCTATCTTAGCTTTGAATTAATTTTACTGCATTGGTTGAATGCTAAGGCTGGTGGTCCTTTGATTGTGATTTGAATTTATCTCCCCTTGGACCACCCACAAATGTAGTATTCAATAATGGATGTTTCCCCACGTTCATACAAACCCAGAGTGAAAGAAGGATAGTATCTCCATTAAAATTTTGCAAAATAAAAATTACAGGAAGAGATATCAAAGCTTCATGTCCATAAACCCAGAAACCTCTTCTGCTGATCAGTGCAGTTTACATATGGCTGTTCTTGGAAAACAAGGCCTTCACTTTTGGTTAACCTAAATATTATTTGATTCCAAAACAAAACGAGAAAAACTGATGATAGAAGGATCAGAGGTGAAGGGAAATTAGTGGCATTGCTCAGTACAATATTCTTCCTAAATTCCTAAACACCACCTGAAATGTAGAAGAGAGCAAAACAAAGTGTCAGAAACTTGCAATGAATAGTTTTTGAATGGATTATGTTGCAATGGCTGCCAAATTTTCTTACCAAAATCCCTTGGTGTCTTGCATTTGAAGCATTCGATCCTGCTAGCATAATTGTGAACTCCACACCCATATCTGCCAAAACAAAATTGCAGTCACTTCCACTTACTTGATAATTGTGATACAACATTTATCAAATTGAAGCTTCATATTATCATTGCGGAGACAATGCAGCTTATTTGTGGAATTTTATGCTCTTGACCCGAATAAAAACCAAGACATCATTTACTCAAATAAAAAATATCAATGCAAACTCACCTGGTGCACATCCAGTCACCAGCTTTCCACCCAGGAGGGGCACTGCTTTCAGACCCCATCAAACCATAACCACCATAGTCATTTTTCATGGTACCACATCGATAGCAGTTTACTCGGCTAGCATAATTGTGAGCTCCACAGTTCATGGCAGCGCAATACCAGTCTCCGGCCAAAACATCGCTCTTGTTGTACATAAGGTAGGTCGATACATCGGGGCCGCCATATTTTGGATAAGCACAGCGTTGGCATGCTTCTCTCTTTTTGAAATTCTGGTGTTGGCAAGCTGCACACATCCAATCTCCTCCTGTCCAGCTCATTTTGATCCCTGATAAACTATATTACAAACCACAAAATCAGAAAAAACAAATCAAACCCATGTTTTATTCTTGTTTATATATGATCATTATGCTAGTCGAGCTCAAACCAAGCTCGGATTGAAGAAGCTTACCTCCTCGGAAATAAAGTGCCTGAGGTAGGAGAAAAGTAGTAGCTGAATAAATAAGTTGTTAATGCAATTGGTGATTTAGGTGTTTGGGGTGGAAGGGCTATATATACTTGTTAAGGGTGGCTTGGTCTGTCATTTCTTTCTTCATGGGATTCTTAAAGCAGGCATTTTTGCTTTTTCTTTCTTTTAGAGAGTGTTTAGATAAAACCTAGCTAGCTAAGTTGTTCATATTGTTCTAATACTTTTCACTGAACTTGGGAAGATGGCTCAGCAGTACACTGCATGTCATGCATGCATGCCTCCTCTTTATGTGATTCCCTATCATTATTGCTGGAAACCAACGTGAAAATATATTCTCTTCCCATCCCTATCACCCATCAGCCAGGCGTTATGAGGGGAAGCTTTTATTTGGATATGGTGGCTGCTGTTCGCCATCTTTCTTTTTCCTATGCTAAATACATATGTGCAGGCAGCAAAGAAATTGCCGACGTGGGATCTACGTGTATAGACACGTCAAGCCCCTTCCATGCCCAAAAACTGACGTGGACGGACACTTCAAGTGCTAGAATGGGGAGGCTCATCCAACTAGTGATCAGATATACCTTCCATGAGGAGGCGTATGCAGTGACGGTAGCAGTTGGGACAGTAAAAAATAAAAAAGAAAGGGCTAAGAAACATGTGGGAAATTACATATACATAGATAATATATATATTGCAATTGGAATTTATTCCTTATAATGCACATCCATTGCAAAATTCCTTTTCTTCTTTTAATTGCAATAATTCAAAAGCTATTTGAAGATTCATATCAATTTGGAGCCGTTTGCTTTCAGTTCTCTCCTCAGTTACTCCTTCAATGCATATTCCATACGTGAGTTGTTATTTGCCGGCGAGCCGTCGCATATCTAATTCTAGTAGGTGAGTCTCTCAATTGAAATTTTCTGCCTCAAACTAGAGATTTGCTTAAGTGGTATCAAGCTGAACTGATTCCGTTAGTGATTTAATTGGATATTAATTTGATTGATATTATAATATTAAAAAAATAAAGTTTATCTCACGTTGTGGGAAACAAAAATGAAGGTTGAAAAAGGGGAATGTTATGGATGAATATTGTCCGCGGCGGACCGACGCTGGTAGGCTATAAGTATCCATCTAATAAAATATAAAAGCACGCATGCACATTATTGGACTTCCACCTGAAAAATTCCAACCTATTAATCCATCTTTTTTAATATATGATGTGATGAGCTGCTTTGACAATAATTTTTAATAATATATAATATTATGAGATATTATTAAGATAAATGTTGAGATTCGAACTCACATAAGATGAGATAACATGAACATCCTTAATTACTCGACCAATAAGTGAATCTCACTCAATCAAAGGTTGAAAGCTCTCTCTTGATTATGGTATATGGTGTATCTATTGCTTACATGGCAAACATATTCAACTCCAAATGAGCACAAATGCTTGCTTGTTTGTCAATTACACCTATGATAAGGTAGAATTTAGAGGAAGACAGGGTGAATATTCGGAGGTAGAAAAATACCTTGAAGTGCAGCCATGGAGCCCAGCTTTATTCTGGGCTTGTCAAAGGTGGTCCATTTCCCTTCAATAATACTCCAGGGAATCCACATTCATTAAGGGATTACCCAGGAAGAACAACCTTTGCTTTTCAGTTTTGTATATTCTCTTCCCCTTTTTCTCTTTGCCACGTGAAATATGAGTTTCAATCCTCAAGGCCCTTAATACTTTAACTTGTATCTGTTTCAAGTCACCAAAGATTGATTTTATCCCCTAGATGTCTTGATGATTACTAAAGTGAGAAAACGACTCTTATCCCAGCATCTATCCCCAGGTTTGGCAACAATTATTGTACCAGATTAGCCAGTGATTGTTAAGATCTGAAATGAAGTTGGGAATCTCCAAAAGGGTTTTGATTATGGTGCTAAATCGTTTACTATCACCATCATTGGAGCCTAAGGCCTTTTGCATGCACCATTAGAAGAATATGAAGCATACCAAATGCGGCATATAGGGTGCATGGATGTCGAACTAGCTGCATATGCATGTCAAGCGCAAGGATTGAAGTGTTACATTTAATCTCACTCGAGAAAAAAATAAAGGATAAACCTATTATGAGATTGTCCGGTCCTCGATATACTCACAGTTGGAATTGCAGCGGCAATGGAAGCAACAACGGTTGCCTTAGCTCCAGCAACCACGCCCTCTGATGGTTCAAAACAAGTAACAGGTCATCATTTTTTGTTGCCTGGGGGGATTGAAAAGAGCTAAAAGGAAAAGGGAGATCACCACGAGAGCAGCGTTTGGCCATAGCCAGCTTTTGGTCAAGGGAAGCCAAGTTAGCAGGTTGAGCAACGTTTTTAGCCTTTGTGAATCAACTATGATGAGAATATAAGAAACAGAGAATGGTAATAATAATGAAACGGAGTTTGAGATGGAATTAAGAAAGATGTATGATTGTGTGAAGCTTTTTTGAATGGATTGATAGACTTGCATGGTTATTTATAAGGGGAAAAGTTGGATAAAATGGGATATGGATTTGTTGAGAGTTGAGATGCAAATGAGTGCCTCAGGTGTTGTGGTTGTGTGGGAGACTTTGATGGTTTCTCTGAATTCCAGCGTCAGCCACTTGGTTTCACTTGGATTTCTGCTATTTTTCGTTTTACATACAGCCAAAGGTGCAAATTTCGCATTTGCGCGACAGATAGTGAATTTTCTTAGTGCACTTTGATTCTTGTAAAGGAAAAGCAATCTTTAATTATATTACAGATAAGATGAATTACAAAGCAACTGGAACAAATAACTTCTTAGAATACAAATTCAACTGATCACCCCCTCCATGTTAATGGCCAACTGAATGGTAATGGCTTACATTAGATGCTGAGTTTTAGATTTAAAACCAAACTCAAATTCGTGCCTCCATGTTAGGTGCATGCTTGAAGGAGTTCTTCCGTGCCGTAGCCAGAACAGTCTTGTCTGCAACTATAAAATAAGCTGCTCCTGCCGCTGCAATAAGAATCGAAGCTCTTATTAACAAAAGGAAATTTTTACTATAAAAAGATACTGGTAAGAAGGATGATGATGATGAAAACCTGTGGAGATTATGAGAGCTTGTGCGGTGTGATTGAGATTGGCTCTTGCCCATGGCAGCATCCTTACACTAGCGAGCTGCATTTGCATGTCAAGCGCAAGGGATATGTTACATTTAGTCATCCCCAAGAGAAAGTATAAACTATGAGATTGTCCGGGGCTTGGTATACTTACAGTTGGAATTGCGGTGGCAATGGTTGCAACGATGGCTGCCTTAGCTCCAGCAACCACGCCCTCTGATGGTGCAAAACAAGAAAAATATCATATCATTCAGGTTACTTCTAAAGGAACTAAAGCATGTCATCACATGATGAGGTTACCAAATGGTAGTATAATAGCCTGAAAAGGGGAAAACTTCGAAGAAAGCTAAAAGGAAATTAAGGGGAAATTACCGTGAGAGCAGCGCTTGGCCATTGCCAGCTTTTGGTCAAGGGAGGCCAAGGTAGCAGATTGAGCAACACTTTTAGCCATTGTGAAAGGAGAACAAACTGGTGGTTGTAATGAAACAAGTTTTAGTATGATCGTGTGAAGTTTTGTTGAAGAGATTGTGAGAATTGCATGGATATTTATAAGGGGAAATTTGGATAAAATAAAATGAGATGGGCATAGAACTGTGCCTCAGGTGTAGGGGGGAGAGTTTGATGGTTTCGTCTGAATTCCAGCAGCATAGACACTTGTTTTCACTTGGATTTCTGCTATTGTCGGTTCGGCTCACTGTTCCCAATTTTTAATTTATTTAGGTCCACTAATTGAACCTTTATGTCGATTAATTGTTATTACTATAGCACATAAAAGTAGGTAAACCAGTTATTAGGATGAATTATTAATCTATTTGAATAAAATATAAGATTTAATTTTTTTTTCCTTCAATTTCAAGATTTCGCCCTGATTAATCTGGTCGATCCGGGTCACACAAAACAAAATTAAATGAATTGAATTATAATAAATATATATAATATTTAATTTAAATTAATAAAAATGCATAATATTTTTCAAATTTATATGGATAAAAATTATTAATGAGTAAATTAATCATAGAGTGAATATTCAATGATTTGTGCACAAAAATTACGCATTATCGTTATTTTGATTATAAATCCTTGATTATTTCAATTATTTTTTGTAAAATAAATAAATCTAACAGAAAATATATTGCACGAATAATCTTATCTACATAGTTAAAAGAATCGTTGTTGTTTCTAGAAGTTACGAGTTTGAGCAACTAGCGATTGCAATAAAGTGATTGAGTGTATATTATTAAATGGTTGAAAGTATTTAGAACAAATATTATTTTATAATCACCTTAGTTTAATCGAAATAAAAACATAAAATATACTAATTTAATGCTGCAATATAAGAGGTCCTTGAATTTTTGAAAAAATATCAATGTTGCCCACATATTTTTTTATTGCAATGTAACTTATGTAACGATTTTATGATACTGTTGTTATATTTTAAGAGAAACGGTGGGCATTGGGATTTGGTGAATCTAGACCGGTGGTTGGTTCTCTCACTTATACGCACAAATCCATAAAAACTTTTCCAAAAGTTCCACTTTTCCCTTTTTGCTCGTACTAGAGATCGCCGAAGCCACCGGTTTAGATAAGCCAAAGCTTTCACAAATCACAAAACCATGGGTAACCTAACCAAACCTTGTAGATGATTTTTGGTATTAAATTTTCTATTACAATCGTAATAATTTATATATTAATAATTCGCATTAAATTTTAATAAAAATTTTACGTACCCATTATTTCTTAAAATACTTTTTTGGTGTTAACTCATGTGCTCAACTGAAGTGCACATGAAACAGAACCATGTGTCCTAAAACGCTGGATGGTTTTGCTCACGGTTTTAGATCTGAGTGGGTGACCAGACTCCCAAAGCAACAACCCATCCCTCAAAGACTAATAGTATTGTTTAAGCCCATTCTCATACTTCGTATGGGCTTCGGAGTACTCATGAATTTGTAAATCACCAATGCGCCCATTATTCTATTCATGACTCGTTTGCTTTATCACTAATTACCATGATTATGCAACTTGGCAAAGGAAGTAGCGCATGGTTAAGACCAAGAAAAGGAACAAGTTTGAAAGTTGAGGGCTTTCCTTTCATGTCTTAAAGAAGAACAGTTTTGTTGACTTTGTGAAAAAAGGATTTAGATGCTGCTTACCAAGCATTTTACCATTCTTAACTAGGAAGATTAGTATTGGAACCTTATGGCACCCATGTCTTGCACGATGCCCTCAGGAACAAAAAAAGGAGCACTTAAACAATAATACTTTTTCGTAAAGCAAAGTGTACATATCACTTGAAGAAAGGAAAGGATGAGATGTTCTGTATATAGAAAGATTCGTTTTGGTATTACTTAATTGACGATCCCCATAACTTCTGCCCACCTCTGTGGTGCTCTGTATCACTTCTTTTTCTATTTTGGTGACACTTTAGTCTCTTTTTATTTTACTCCCGAGTATAAGGCTTCGTCTTGATTAATTCGGTACGTACATAAAGATTCGAACTTGAAATTTACTTAAACGATATTAAGTTGGTTACCGCTTCGAACCAAGCCCGTTGGTGTCAGTTTAGTTTCCAGATGGGTGAAAGGTGAGGAATATAGAATACTAGCTAGATTAGAGAAAACGCTGTCACTTTCTCCATGCAACCAACGCACGACCAAAGTGGGGTTCAAGTTTAAGTTGAGAAACCTCGCGTGCCCCTGCAAGCTGACGACCCACCGGTTCCCAGAGCCAATATTCCATCAGTTTGCAGTTGCCTTTGCCTATCTGTTCAAAGTTGAATCTGCCTTATAATTAACCTGTTGACCATAACATTTATATATATTCCTCTCCAAAGTTCTGACCCATTTCAATAACCCTTAATCAACCCGCCTGCAACGAATAAACATGAAGCCAAACAGTGAAGAATCAAGTTGTTCCATCACCTCGAGATTACAACAGAATATGCATTCTCGGATAAGCTGGTAGAAAGTTTCATAAATCGTTACTTATCTCATGTTGCACCTCGAAATTTACGAACGGGATTATAAAATAAAGGAAGGGAATGATGAAGCATGAACTGCATCTAAAAGGAGTCAAATTATCACACTTCTCAATGTTGTTAAAGTTCGATTTCATATATAAACATTCAATCACTTTATTATATTTTCTTTATATTTTCTTGATTATAATGTTATTATTCGACCACGGTGACGGTCTAATAATCATAATGTGAGAATGAAAATTTTGATTTACTTTTGCTTGGGGCAGGAAACATGATTGATAATTTGTCTTTTTTATTATATTTGATCCGTGAAAGGACGTGTGATTGCGTGACTATGAATGTGAAGGAAAAGCTACAAAGTAAAGGGGAAAACCCTTTTTTATAATAATATTTTTACCATCATTGACAAGAGTCATAATTGTCACCACATGAAGTCCATAGATTTCTCATGGAATCACATTGGGACAATTATGGGATCCCTTCCTTTAACACGTCAGAATACATAAAAAAAAATTAAATGTTAATTAATCCAAACCATCAAATTTGCAGGAAAAACAACTCTCTTTTTTGGGGGGATATTTTAATTTACACTTCTAGAGTTAGAAATAATCAAAATGACGAGGGATTTTATATGGGGCATCTCTTTCTTCTTTCCTTAGCTTTGGAATGTGACCCCTACTGCTCCTACTCTTGTACACATCACTGGGGACTTCAGGTGGCCTTACTGATCTAATAAGAGCCCAATTCACCCCTTTGAAGAACTCATGCCTTTTGATTTCAACAGACCCCTTCAAGCTTCCTATTCTCTTCTTTGGATTCTTCACCAGTAGCTTGCTGATGAGATCTTGAACTTTGGCCATCTCTTCAAATTCTTTACCGCTTTGAACACTGATTCTGGGGAACATTAAAGGCTGTTTAAGGATGTTAATCAGTGTTTTCTCGTTGTTTTCGCCTTTGAAAGGCGTTCTACCGTACAACATTTCGTACAAAAACACCCCTAGCGTCCACCAGTCCACTGCACTCCCGTGGCCTTGCCCTGAAATCACTTCTGGGGCTAAGTATTCGTGGGTTCCGACGAAAGACTTGGACTTGGCATTGATTGGTTCGGCCACCAGCTCCGGACCAACTTCATGGCCGCAACTATGACCTTGTTCTGTGATTGTTGTGACTCTAGAACCTTTCTTCTTCCTGCTGGAAGACGAGAAACAAGACAGAACTGGTTGCATGGGGGTAGCGCATGAAGGAGTCAAGCAGTAGCTGTCGTAATTTTCAGCGTCTTCCAAGTTGGGTTTTCGACCTAGCAGCTTTGGAACAACGTCGCATTTGAAGGAAAGATCGAAATCTGAAAGCATAATATGCCCATCTTCTCTAACCAAAACGTTCTCTGGTTTCAGGTCCCTGTAAACAATGCCCATCATGTGCAGATACTCTAGCGCTAAAAGTATCTCGGCAGCGTAAAACCTGGGTTATCACAATAGCTTATAATTGAACCTCAAGTCAATGGACCATTACTTGAATAAAAAAATAGTACGTAATCAACACTTAATAATGAGAATCATGAGATAAACTTACTTAGCAGATGTAATGCTGAAACGCTTTGCCGGTTGGCGTTGCCTCGCAACATACAAGTCCCCGCCAGGGCAATACTCCATTACCAAGCAAGAGTAATGAGAAGCCTCGAACTCTGCATACAAAGAGGGTACAAACGGATGATCGAGCATACCCAGAATCTCTTTCTCCATGTCAGCCCTCTGCAACTTCTTCCTTATAGCGAGAGCTTCTCTATCCACCACTTTCATGGCGTAAAAACACTGAGGCAACCCAACCATAGGGTTCCTTATCTGGCAAAGATAAACATTCCCTATGTCTCCGCTTCCCACTCTACGAAGGAGCAGAAAATGATCGAGTCCGACTTTACCTTTGGCTCTCTTGAGTCGCTTCATGGCTTCCCATGGCGCCTGGTTCGCCTTGTGCGGCTTATGGGAACTGTAGAGAGAAGTTTCGACGGAACAGAGGGAAACCGAGCTCCGGCGGCTTCCGAAGCTTAGGTTGCTCATCCAGCTTCGGCTGGAGTCGGGTACGGTTATCGATGAGGAGCTGCTGTCGTAGTTGGATTCATCTCTGGCTATGGCCGCTGCCATTGTTGGTGTTGGAGCATGTAACAGTGGTCACAGTACTTAGGTATGTGAAAAGCCTGTAATGTTATTGTGAGGTTTTTCTCTCTTTCGCTGCTTTCCCAGGCTTTTTATATACGGAATGCTTCGCCATGAAATTTGTAATGCGGCCCGATGGAAGAAAGTTACAAAGCCCTGCTTTTTCCCTCTAACTGAGGCTTGCAACTGTTATTAATAATTCAATAAAGTGGGTATGTTTTTATGTGCTCATCTAAACGACACTACTTTTACCACTTATTACAATGGCGCCATTCTTTATTTTTCCCCATATATTTAGACATTCAAATTCATATATTTTCACCAACACCCTTTGTGGTAATTCCATTATATACGCGTATATAAAGATTACATACGAAGATTGTTTAACTATATATTTATTTATTTATACATGTATTATATTTTATTTTTATTTTTAATTTTCTGACTGTCGAAGGTTTTCAACGAAAGTTATTCTCAACTTGACATTGAGGGCAGCCTACTACCCTACCTCCTTTTACCTCATTGTATAAGTAAATAGGGTTTTGTTGTTGTTGTATTACTCTTTGTGGTAATAAAATTATTGTTATTCCTTGAAATCTTGAGTTTAAACACTAAAATATTATAAATGTGAGTGCTTAACGTCAAATAATTAAAAGTTATATTTAAATAAATAATATTTTATATTTATCTCATATTAATTCATATCTCTAAATAGATATATTTGGTTCAATTTTAAGAATAAATTACACCAATCATCACTCAATTTTATTTTATCTCATATGTCACTCATTATAATTTAAATCAATTCAATTTTATCACTAAATTTAATACATTTACTTCTTTTTTTATCATTGGTATTCTCTTCGTAACCCATCCATGATAATCAAGAGAAGAAGAAAATGAAGGAATCCTTGGGGGATTGAAAACGAAGGAAGATTGAAAAGGGTAATCAAGAGAGAGAGAAAAACCCATGGATAATGGAACTAGCACGAGAAAAATCTTTAGAACCAGCACTTCTAGATCAACGCAAACTGATGTTTCTGCATCAATAAAAGTTGGAACTCAAGCTCCAAAAGTAGAGCTGCATCAGAAGGAGAAGCATACTTTTGCCCAAAATCTTCCTCCTCTTCTTCTTTCTCAATCCCACAAAGTGTCCTTCATTTGAAACACAAGAAGAAGAAGAATACAGATGAATTGAGAAGGTTTGGAGTCGGGATTAAGATTGAAGTTTAAAATTAGGGTTTAGTCAATTTAATTTATTTTTTAATTTTAAGACAGAGGTAGCAGCACAGCTCCATGAGAGAGGTGATTTGGTTTGGGGAAATGAGGGGAGGGCGTTGGAGAGATGAGTTAATAACGTGGTGAGGTGGTAGGCATTGATATGTCTTTTGATTTGGTTTCCCCCCTTAATTTATTTGGTTTTAATCCGATGTTTTCTTTGTATTAAATAATTTCACGTTGTTAAAGAATAAATAGTAGAATGATTAAAAAAATTAATGTCTAAAATTTAAAGAGTAAATTAAAAAAAATAAGAATATAATAAATAAAAAAAATTCAATGAATATATGTATAATTTAACCTTAAAAATATGACCAGACTTATAATGAACCAAAATAAAAGGAGCTTTTTACTAGTGTGATGAGCATGCTACCCGACACAACCACTAGTCTTTGTTCTCACCAAAAGTTCTTACACAGTCACAACTCTTGTAAATCGAAATGTCATGTAAAAATATCGGCTTTCTTAGAGTTTTGTTAAAAATAACCTTCGGAAATAGCTTTTCAAGATGTTTTTATTATTTAAATAATTTATGATTACCACCATTTATACTTATCTAATTAAATAATCAGAATTCTCGGTTACAAGCATTTCTGCTTTTCCTGCTATATAGCTTGTATGCACCAATTTTCAAGCTATTTTCCCAGCAACCAAACTATAAATAATTTTATTAAATAAAAATATTTAAAATTTTTAAAAAATTATTAAAAAAGTAAATTAGTCATTTATATATATATATATTTTTTTAAAATCATTATATTATGCACATTAATCATCTAAAAATCATGTAAGAGAAAAAAAAATAAAAATCTAATCAAATAATTCAGACTTGATAGATATAAATAAACATGATTGTTGAAAGTCAAAGATAAACATCATCACTACTAAAATTGTTCGTACCAATGATAATTCATTGACAAACTAATATTATTACAACTCAATCGTGATCTACCTTCGATGGTTTTAAGCGCTTCTCAATATCCAACTTGATGGTTTAAAGCAGGAATGGGTCAATACGATAATCAAATAAATGTCATCTAAATCTGGAGATATAAAAATCTAATTAAATAATTTCATATTTATTTAAACGATATAATCTTTTTATTTTTCACAAATTTAATATAATTAAAAAATAAAATAAAATAATGAGATTAACTATTTATTTTTCAATTAATATTTTAAATAATTATTATTAATTTTAACTATTTATTTTTACTCATTTAACCATCTAATTTACGTTATATAAATTTAATATATATATATATATAAAGTAACGGAGCTTTTGGTAATTTAAGATGTTAGGTGAGAGGATTGATAAAAGCTGGGGAGCTGCACGAAGAATCCGTGCCCCCAAATTTATTTTCGCCCCAAATACTTTAGTTCTAGTGATAAGAAGAAAAGTTAATATATATTAATATGTAAAATCATTTTTTAATTAATTTAAATTCGGAAGTTAAATTAAATCTTTGGAAAAGAAAAGGTAAATTAAAAAATCAAAACATATATTAACTGAAATTTAAAGGGATTGATAACAAGTTAATTAAAATTTAATTAAATGTTAAATTTATTTTATGTTATGAATAAAACATTTTTTTAATATTTACATCTTATCTTAACGTTAATCAAAATTTCTATCTTGAATTCTTTTACTACTATCAAGAAATGAATTAATATATATTTATGATATTCTTGTTATGCATGTGAACTCGTTAGAGGGGGACCGTATGCTATATATATTAGGGTCCATGCATATCATTCTAAAAAAAATTGGGTCCATGTATATGACCTTACACGTGTCAAAATTTGTTAGATTTTGGGAAAATATCAAAAGATATGCACCGAAACGGAATAAATTATAGTCTTGGACGAAACCAATTAACATTGGCATAAATGATTAAGATTTAAGAATTTGAGTTTATAATATTAAATTTGAATCTTATTATTGTTATTTTTAATGAATAATTTTTAAATTTTTATATAAATTTTAATTGAGTATTATATACTTTGGCTCTGGATTGGGAGTACTCCTTACCTATACTTTCTCGTAAAAAAATAATAACCTTGCACAAAATTTGTAATAGAATTTGAAATGCACAAAAAACAAATGAACGTAATAATGATTTTATATTGAATAACAACAACAATAATAACTGGTATTAATTATTTTACAAAATGATGAATATACTAATTATATTAACTGGCATTAATTATTATATACACCAGTTGAAAATATTCAGAAAAAAAAAATGAGATTCTATCTAGAAACTGTAACCTGCCTCTATCATGAAATTTGTTGTATTTCATGTTCCTCACTTTTAAGCTATAATATAATATGTATCAGCTAACTTACTTATGTGGTTAAAGATATCGTTATTGTTCTTAAAATTTACGAGTTTGAATACCAATAATTATAGTAAGGTGATTAAATGTTAATTGTTAAATGATCGAGAATATTTAGAACATGTATTACTTTGTAATTACTCCGATCACTTTGCGGGACTCGATATCGAATCCCCATCCCATTATGATAAATCTTGTGTGCTTGTAAGTCACCCTAGTTTTTATTAGAGATGACAACGAGTCGGGTTAGGGTTGGGTTTTTAGTCAACCCGACTCGACTTGAAAATATGCATCTTCCACCGAATTTGATCATACTCGAAAATTTTATATCTTATATCTGACTTGACCATATCGGAAAAATATATATCATATACTCGATTTCGACCGGACCTAATTTTCTAGAGTATAAATCCGACCCGATCTAAATTAAAGATTTAATTAAAAATATTTTTTAAAAAAATATTACATTATTATCCTCGGGTCGGGTCGGGTCGATGTTTTTTCACCCTCCACCCAAATCCGACCATACCAAACTTTAAACATTAAAAAATTCAACCTGAACTCGAATTTTTTTTAAAAAAAAATTTAATTCGATTTAGTCGAAACCCATCGCGGGTAAAATTATTATCCCTAATCTTTATCCATATTAATCAAATTTCCATCATAAAAGATTAAGATATGAATTTCAAAATGTGATATTTTCTTTCAGCTGTTTCCTTTGAGAGCTCCACTTTTGTCAGCAAAATCTTATCATTTAAACTTTTTGGTTGCAATTTGAGGCAGCAAGAATTGCAGCATTGCAGATCGACAAGTGTACAGCAAGATTCAAAGCTCCATAACTCGCCCCATACATTCTTCTCCCCCACCAACCTCTTTTTTTCATTTTTCTTCAGCTACAAACAGAGAAAATCACATCAACACGTGTCGAAAACCCTACAGGATTTGTGAACTGTACTCGATATATCATCGCCTCAGTGACACGGGTCTTATTAACGACGGTGAACACATTGTTTTCTACATGTGAATCTCCATATAACTTCATTTATTAACTTTGGTTGTCTACCGCCGGATTCACTTTGGACCTAGAATACAGCTTATCAAGTTCCAAGAAACTGGTGATTGATATAAATGGAACGATAATGTTCCAGCAAAGTAAAATGGGCAACTATCAGACTGCAAAAGAAAATGGAATGAGAAAATGGAATGAGAAAATGAATAAAGAGACACTCGGTCTGCGAACTTTTCTACCCTTCCATCTGCAATAATGTGTAAAATGAACTGAGCAAAAGATGGCCAGCCCGATAACTCCACAACTCCATGTTGTCGATGCCATGGTCATTTAAACAAAAATTCACGGCATCAAGTTCAAATTCGAATCGGATATGGATGCTCACACCGAGGCGTGGTTTTTCTTTCCTTCTTTTTTAATGGGTAAACTATGCCAATGATCACTAATGTTTGGGTTAGTGTTCGTTTTCACCATTGATGTTTGAAAAGTCACAAATCAATTACTAACGTTATCGTTTGTTATAAAATAATCACTCGACGTTAACAACCGTTAACAATCCTTATTGCAATAACGGAATGCTAACGTGGCATGTTAAACTAGTTGACTTAGCATGTTTGACCGACCTTTTGACTCTTCTTTTTCTTTAGAGGAAAATACTACGTCGGTCAAATATGTTAAGTCAACTGGTTTAACATGCCACGTTAGCATTTCGTTACTGCAATAACGATTGTTAATAGATGTTAACGTCAATTGACCATTTTTAACAAACGATAACGTTAGTGACCGATTTGTGACTTTTCAAACATTAGTGGTGAAAACGAACACTAACCCAAACATTAGTGACCATTGTGTAGTTTACCCTTTTTTAATTTAGGGTAAAATAAAACATTTCTCATAGAATCTTACTCTCTCTCCTATTTTATTCACTGCACTTTTAGTTTTTCTAATTGTTCATTAAACTTTCAAATTTCTCTTGTTTTGATTACTTTGAATTATTTTATTATTATTATTGTATGACGTGACATTTATATTATTATTTAATATAAAAATATCTTTATTATTATTTCAAAGGTCGACGGTGGTAGATAGTAGACGGTGATTATTTTAAGTATTTTTTTAAATTTAATAATAATAAAATATTATTTTATTACTTTTTTTAAATTATTTGTGTAATAAATAATAATAATACTAACAATAAATGTTACATCATATAAATTAATAATAAAATAATCTATAGTGATCAAAACATGAATAATTCGAAAGTTCAATAAGTAAATTAGAAAAATAAAAAATATAATGAGTAAAATAAGAAATAGAGTAAAATTCAGTAAGAAATTATATAATTTACCTTTTAATTTATTAAAATGTAGATTTTGTTGCAACATATCGTAATGGGCAGCTCCAGCCCTTGGGGTCCAAGACATTTGTTTTGTTCTTTTATGCTAATGTTTATTTGAATTTGCAAAGATACGTCATATTTTGATTGGTCCCACACTCAAAGATCATGTCTTTCAAACATGCATGTTTTTATATAAGGGTAAATTACACCTAGAGTCACTTAATTATAAATAAAGGTAAATTATAGTTAACATCACTTAATTTTGAATTTAATAATAAATATGTTATTTTTATTCTAAAAGTTATAAATACGTTATTCAATTAAGATATTATTACAAATAAGTCATTGATCGTTAAATATTAGACGAAAGTAATAACACGACTTTATATAATAATAATTTTAGTCCTTAAAATCATACATTATATCCATTTGATCCTAATTCGAAATAACTCAATAAATTTAACGGTACACATTTAATAACTTCATACCATATACGTTTGTTTCAATTTTTTTATTATCTGGATGTGATTGTAAGGTAGTGTCTGTTCAGAATTTTATTAATCAATTGACAATGATACATACATAACTCTTAAACGCAACTTGTTGAACTTGTAATATTTAAAAATAATAACACTCTCTTTTATTATTGTGGTCGTTTAATGAGGATCTGACAACCTGAAAACACCCTCTAAACTGTGAAAACACCTTTAAGACTCGTAATTAAAACTAGTAATGGCAATGGATGGTTCAAGTTTTTAGATCTCAAAAATCTTTAGGGTCCAAGAGAGTGTTAAAGGAGTCAGATAAATTCAAATAGCACAGAAAGATGTGGGTTTGGGCTTGCCAATTTCAGTGAACTATTTATGATATTATAGGAATGTACCAATCGGAAACAATAGGCCTGAAAAAATCGTATCAACTCTTTATCGCATACCTTAGCGGCAAAACTTAATGGTTCTTATGAACCGATTGTGTTCAAAGAAACTTGTTATGACCCTAGGAGATTAGAGAAGAAAATTAGACGAAGAATGGACAGAATTGAGATTAAAGAAGAGAAGAAAAGAGATTTAAGAAAGCTGAGAATTCATTCATTCATTTCATAAGCCTCTCATGCTCTACAAGCAGGTAATTTATTTAGTTACACTTGTAGTACTACGAATCTAGCTATGTCAGCTGGCATTTACAATAACAGACTCATAACAGAATGGTTTTGTTTCATTTCTTCTTTTCAGCAGGTATTGGCCAACTGGTCTGGCCCTTTCCAGCATTACTTGAGTCTTCTCAACCTGCTCCAGCTCTTCGGGTAATATCCTCACCTGACCATTACATGTTTTAATTCCCAATTCGCATTTCTCAATCCCTAATTCATTTTCTGAATCCCCAATGTCCTTCGCTGCTTCGTGCTTCTCCTCCTCTCTCCCAACCGTGACAATTCCTCCCCTTTAGACGATCCTTGTCCCCAAGGATCAAAGTATCGAATTTGTGATAGCAATACCACAAAATCCTTCCAAGTTGCAAAAGAAGGAAGTCCATCCCAACTAATTAGCCATTGCTTGTAACCAACAACACCCAATATCACATGGATAAAATGATCTCTATGATGCACCCTAGAAACATGTCCCAATCTCATCAATTCAGCATTGACTAAAATCACTTGTACATTCCATTTAGGCAACTTATTCGTATTGTTCTTTAACTCAATAGCCAAAACCGCACCCCTTTGACTCTCCGACTTCTGCCTCCAATTGTTATGACCCTTATTGCCATGCCTAACTAAAACTTGCTGTGAAAACTTCTGATTTATATCATTTTTCTCTTCTGCAAGTTGGGATAAATCATCCTTTGCAATAGCCAATGAGTCTTCAAGTAATTTCATAGTTGTTTGGGTCTCTGTTAACTTGCCAACCAGGATGCTAGCCTCGTCCTTTACTTCCCTCAACTCTCGTTCAATCTGTGTCTTGGTAGTCTGACAATAATCAATTGTCGCTTGGGCCTCTGCTAGCTTTCCAGCCATGGTGCTAGCCTTCTCTTTTACTTCCCTCAACTCTTGTACGACATTCCTCAGACAGTCCACCTCAATAGTCTCAGCAAGCCGATTCTCAAATTGAAAAAAAAATTACAGTAAGGAATTCATTACTATTAATCCTTATGACCTCTACACGAGAGTTTCCCAATTTTGAGCTGTCATAGCCTTGTACTGAAATGGAACAATAAAGAGCTTGCAATAATTTCCCAAGCAACGACCTGTTACCTCAATCATTTGTTTTGCCCGGAAACCACATTGGGGAAGCACGATTCCAGTTATGCATAGCTTAGGAGGCCTACCAGGTCTCTTTAACATCCTGACCTCAATCCTTTTAGCCTTGACACATAGTTTGATCTCAGCGAGTCTTTAACATACTGAGATACAAGGAAAAACATATCTGGGATTTTATAAATATTTTTTGGCAAACTTGTGTTTGTGTGTCAACTTGAAGAAAAAAAGATGGGGACAGGGGAAGAAGTTTCAAGTTCTAGCTCTGGGAATCAAAACAAGTGCTACAGCGACATAACCAATATGATTTTGATTGTATATGATCTAACTGCCATCAATAATTACTTTTATTGGGTTGGTTTTGGGATTTTCCACTCCGGTTTGAAGGTTAGTTCTCATTTCTGCATTCTCTTTTTTTAAACATTGAATTTGTCTGTTTCTTTGTATGTTTTGGGATGTGAGTATTGATTATTTTAGCTTCTTATTGCTCCAAAATGCTGCATTTGGTTTCTCTTGATAGAAATTGGATATGGGTTTCTTGATATTCGTTTCAAATGATTTTTAACTTGATTATCTCTAATATGCAGCTGAAGATTAATATTCATTTAGGTTTTCATTTGGTAAAGGAAGTTTTTTTTTGTGTGTATGTGTTAGGGGGGGGGATTTGAACCATAGTAATGGTATGAATTATGGAGAAAATAAGATCTTTTGATGTTTGCTTTGGATCTTTTTATGAACTGATGAATGTATCGTCCAATTTTACAATGGTTTTTGTTGGTTTATTTGCGTGTAAAATTTTTACAGTAGTTTTTCCCCCTACTGTATGATGTTTGAAAAGTTGTGTATGCATGAGGCAATGCATTTATATTCTAGCAAGATTTTGTTGGTCTTAAAATTCCAACATTTTACTTTTGGTCTCAAAGTTCCCTCTGTTTCTACTTCTGGTATATGCTACTCGGATTAGTTGAAAATAGATTGTGGTGACTGACTCAAAGTTCCATTTAGTTAGATATAAGATTAGGTGTAGTCGGTCGATGGTACTTGGCAGGATCGAAATGCATCGAATCTTGAAGAACTTGTAGCAGACTTGAAATTAAACAGCTTATTGCCAGATATTTCGTTGCCATTTAGTCGCTTTAATATGAAATCATGTTGTTGAGGGCTTTAGGCTAAATATTTCCTGTGTTATTCCTTTTCTATTTCAGGAAACTGAACTATTATCTCCTTATTTATGTACAGTTCATGGTAAAGAGTATGGGTTTGGGGCCCATGACTTTCCAATTAGTGGATTTTTTGAAGTAGAGCGTAAGAGCTGCCCTGGTTTTACCTACCGATGTTCCATCTCATTGGGATGCATACACATGCTTTTCTATGAATTCAGAGCATTGGTCGAGAGTGTAGCTTCTGAGTATCATGGAGATACCTATCACCTTATCTCCAAGAACTGTATCCACTTTACAGAAGACATGGTTCATAGATTGACTGGCAAACATATCCCTGGATGGGTAAACCGGCTGGCTCGGTTAGGTTTGTTGATCCTTCCAGTTGTTTTCAAATTCTGTGCAATGTGCATGCATATACATGTGTGTGCAGTCATTCAATTTATCTTATCTTTCTTGTTCAAACTTTCTATAACATTGATGATTTGCTCTTCCTTATGATGTCATACCGTTGGAATTTTTATGGGGTAGCTCTAAAAGAATTGGCATATGTGTAGCTACTTTTTGTTTGATATGTTTGAAGTTTGAACAAGGTCCATGCTAGGCATTTTCCTCTGAAAAGAAACAACACGACGAAAAGCATTAAGTTTATGATTTGTCCAAAATGTAGGTTATTTATGCAGCTGTCTGCTTCCTGAAAGCCTTCAAGTAACCACAGCGAAACAGTTGCCTGAATATCCCGAAATCGGTATGCTTCCTGTCTCTTCGGTCTTTTAAAAGTTGAATCTTCCATTTACTCGACTCAAATTTATCAATCTGATCATATATGGGACTTTTTTCTGCTTCATTTGGCTGGCTTACTTCCAGAAGAAGGAACCGAAACTCTCTTGACAGCCAGCCCCGGCGACTCGACAGAAATGGATGATACAGATCCGGAGAAGCAGTTGCTGTCACCAAAAGAGGGACCTACGGACATATCTTTCATTAAAGAAGCCCAAACGAATGACTGCAGGGGGCCTCAAAAGGGAGAGCTTGCATTGCATGACTTTCATTTGAATGTTGTAATTTGATTTCTAGTATTCTTCCCAATTTTGGGGCTTCCTCATTTTTCTCCTGTTCATTATTTAAGCAGAAGACTTGGAGCTTTGTTGTTGAAGCTCACAGGGAGTGGTTATACATTAAACTTTCGGATGCGATAATTTATTGTCAGCATTTCTGATGGAAGAAATTAGGTCTTTTGCATCAGTTGAATAATAGTTGGAAGAAATTACAGGCTGTTTTACATTTTTAGCTGCAATTTTAAGTGCTCCAAATAAAAGTAAAAGGCCAATGAGCAGGAAACTCCAACATCATATTAACCCACAAATTCAAATCATACAGTTCCATGTTGACGGTCAGATAGTTAAATGTTCTCATGTTCCATCACACAGTTCCAGCAAGGTCCATTAACAAATCAAGCACTATCAGCTCAAAGAGAATCAACACTATACAATGTATGAAACCCAAACTCATAATAATTTTGCTGCCTTTTGTTACTTGCAACTTAAAAATAATTATCTTCTCCATTTCACTTGCTCCAAATGAAAAACATTTTCACGTAGCAACTTTATGTGGATCGACCGCCAAGACCCAGTTTTGAAGTTAACCAAGCACAGACCTCTTCCATCTCCTCAGGATTGGTATAATGACCAAGCCTAAATTGTTCAATAAAGTATCCAGTTTAACTTATATTGTCAAATGTACAAGAAATATGAAAGTTTTCTGACACTAAAGATCTGTACCCATTGTAGGATTTGAAAGTCGTGTCCTGAAATCTATTTGAACTCAATCCTCGAGAGGATTTATCACCGAATTTATATGGAACCACATCATCACCTGCAACCAACCATTTACATTCACACAATATTAAACATAGTCAGCAACTTTTATGCTGATTATGAAACTAGAGCTATAACACGACTACAAATGAATTCGGTAGAATGACTGCAACTGCCTAGCTAATCACCAAGTCTTTCAAACATGAGCTCAGCCTTCAGTAATGAGTAATGACAATGTTTTACTCGTGTCTGGGAATCTTGAACTTTTGTTCTTTCAAACAACTCCTGAAATGAAAACGCCAAAGAGATGTTCACTTGGATCAGCATTGTTCAGGCTTCAGAATGATTAGCTATGGAGGATATATAGACATTTGTCAGCGAGCTATTTCTTCCTCTTTGTTAATTAGGCAACAACTTATTCATCAATTACTACGAGGTATGATAAGCCTAATAAATCCATAAGGCTCTCATAAAACATGAAATGTACACAACCTGGGAAATTTTAAAGTAGATATTACAAAAGAGAAATGAGGGAGTGTCTTTCCATCCAAAAAGTTTCTTTCTCTTATATTCGGAGGAGGGAGTGTCTCCTAAACATGAAATGTACATCAAGAAAAAGAAAACCTTGGATGAAATCTATAGGAAATTAAGTTTAAAAAAAAACAAGATGGGGCAACAAAGGAACTTTTAAAGTCAGCTATTTTTTTATGACTATCAGATCGCATGGGCCTGCAAAATTCCCAGAAATTCTTTAAAAAAACCGCAGAAACCTGGGAAAATAAGATATCAAAAAAGGAAGGCAATTTACCTTTCCAGGTGATGGGAAGTGAAGACTCTTTTTGTCATCAAGGACAATATTTTATTTGATTTTTTGTGAATATTTTGTTTGGTCTGAAAGATTAAATTCAAAACATGAATATTTGTTTTAAATATTATTAATTATTTGATAAATGTTTAATTATTATTTAATTATTAGTGTTTGAATTTGATATTTATAAAGATAACAATCATCATTTAATCAGTAAAATCGTTTGATTTATGTCATTTGATAATAAACATTTAATTATCCTATTAAAATTATTGATGTTTGAATTTGTGATTTTCAAAAAATAATAATTATTTATTTTAACCACGGTGAAGTATATCAACTCGTGATTTTATAGTATAATTTGTAAGTGCACGTCTTACAAAAATCTTATATTTATTTGTATTAATTATAGAGCTAAACGAAACCCTAGTTTGCCACTTCGGAAGCTGATGACATGGCAATCGCAATCGCAATCTTATAGTAATTATGATATATTTTACTTTCTCGACAAATCAAGGCCAAAACCTCACCTCACCGCTTGTGGCGACGTTGCCCTAAGAGACTACTTTCACAATCTCCCGCCGTATTAAAAAGTTTTGTGCTTAGAGCGCTTAGTGGCAAAGAGGGAGAATGGGGAGCCGTACTAATGGCGTCGCAGGCGGTAGCATCAACGGACCGGTGGATAAAGGAGCTGACTTTGCCAATTACTTCTGCACTTATGCTTTTCTGTACCACCAGAAAGAGATGCTCAATGATCGAGTCCGCATGGACGCTTATTACAATGCTGTTTTTAAGAACAAGCATCATTTCCAAGGAAAGGTAACGCCCTTTCTTCTTTTTTTTTTGGCTTAAAGTTTAGAACTTGAATCCAAATTTGTAAAAGGAGAAACCCTTTATGTTTGGGTATCAACTAAGTGAGTTGGTAAAACTTATACAATGAACAAAAGGCGATTGGGTATTGTTTTGGATGCCTGAAATTTTCTTTTTATTTTTTCCTTTTCGTGTTTGTGGAGATAATGCTTGGGAAAGCAACGACAGTTTAAAATTTTGAAGCAGAAGCAATGGAGATGAGATAACCTGCAACGATTGTAGATTAGTAAAGCAAAGAATATCAATAATTTTAGACAGGGTTGCTCAGTTCTCTCGTTGATTACCTTGTTACCATTATATTTATTGTTTTGGGGTGGGTTGTTTTTTCAACTATGTGAAATACTGACAGAAAACTAATTTGGTGAATCCTGGTGAAGACTGTGTTGGATGTAGGAACCGGAAGCGGCATTCTTGCCATCTGGTCTGCCCAGGCTGGTGCAAGGAAGGTCTATGCTGTTGAAGCAACTAAGATGTCAGAGCATGCCCGGACTCTTGTCCAGGCTAACAATCTTCAAGACGTTGTTGAAGTAATTGAGGGCTCTATGGAAGAAGTTGTTTTGCCGGAGAAAGGTTGGTAACTTGGATCGTCAGGTTTAATTCTTAGTTACATCCACTTTGTTTTAAAAGAGTATTTAGGTTTTTTTCCCTCTGATCTTTAGATTTTGGTTAATGGGCAGTTGATGTGATTATCTCCGAGTGGATGGGCTACTTTCTCCTGCGTGAATCTATGTTTGATTCTGTGATCTGTGCTCGAGATCGTTGGCTGAAACCAACTGGAGTCATGTAAGGAACTCTTTAGAAGTTCATTTCGCCTGTTTATCTTTTTTATTTTCTTTTGAATACCCTATGTTTTATTAGTTACGCATTTTTTGTTTATTTTATGAGCTTTGTTCCCCCCCCTCTGTGCCTATGTGACATACTTTTTCTTCATAAGCAACTTTCTATAAAATTAATGTGGCTCTGCATCCAAAACCATCTTGTTGGTTAGTTAACACTTTATCAGTGTGACTTTAACTGGCTGAAGATGCCTGCACATAGGCCTTCACTAAATACTAAGTTAAGGTGTGGATTGATGTCTTGCCAACTAAAAATTCTAAAAAGAATATATAAATGAGATATGGATGTGACGTAGCTTATTTGAATCTGAAAGAACCTTTGCATTTCTGCTGTGTTACTGTACTATTTTGTGTAATGTAATATCAGCATTTTGCTTGAACAGATGCTTATAATATTTGTTAAGCTCGTGAGCATTCTTTACAATTTTTGCAAGCTCAATGTGTGACTAAAAAAATTCCATTTATAGGTATCCTAGCCATGCACGCATGTGGGTAGCACCTATCCGATCTGGATTGGTGGATCAAAAGAAAATTGATTATGAAGGAGCAATGGATGATTGGTATGGGTTTTTGGAAGATACGAAGGATTACTATGGTGTTGATATGAGTGTTTTGACAAAACCTTTCTCTGTAGAGCAGGAGAAATATTATCTGCAGGTGAGTTTTAAAAGTTTCTGATGCCTTGGTGCTCTTGATGAGTGATGACATTACATTCAGTTTATTGCTCAGACATCATCTTACTTTTTATCTGCTGCTTAAAAATCAATATTAGTTGATAAAGAAAGAACCTTTGACACTTTAGGTGTTGAATCACTATTTAGGTGAGAGATGATGAGATCTATATATTAGCTGTTCATTAACTTAATTTCTTCTATTAGATACTAAAAGGCTATTGGTAGTAATAATATCTTTAAGAACTGAGAAGGTTGTTCACTTGTTTGGTTCTTTGTCATATTCTTTTTTTTTTTTTTGATAGAAGTCATATTCTTTTTTTAATGAAACATATTCATTTATATAGACATCATTATGGAACAACCTCCATCCAGACCAAGTTATTGGGACACCGGCTGTTATAAAGGTGATTGATTGTTTAACTGCTTCTGTAAATGACATCCTTCAACTCGAATCAAGTTTCTCATCAGCTATCAGTATGGTGCCCACTCGCTTCTGTGGATTTGCAGGATGGTTCGATGTGCATTTCCGAGTAAGTCGATCCTTACTAATCTGGACTGATTGAATGGTAGGGCCTTATGTGTGTGAGATGACTCTTCTTCTTATCTGGTGCAACAGGGAAGAACGGAGGATCCTGCTCAACAAGAGATTGAGTTAACAACTGCTCCTAGTCCAAATAATGGCACTCATTGGGGACAACAGGTCTGAATTGCTCAAATTCACACCCATACTTCAACTATAAGTATGCAATTGCTAAAACATTTAGGACCAATTTTAAAATCATGCATTAGAATTTCAGTTCTAGAAAGCCTGATCAAGCAATTTGTTACTACCCTTCTGTCCTAATTTATCCATGGATTAATAGTTAGTGTTTTTTTATATACAAGGCTTTGGTTTGGTAGTGTTGCATAATGTTTTGGAATTCTAGTTCGTTGCATAAAGCATGCTCATGTGTATTTGATTCTTCATTTTCCTAATGATTCTTTGATTGCTTTCTATTGTTGGAAAGGTTTTTTTCTTTCATCCTCCTCTTCATGTTGATGAAGAGACCAACCTCAATGTTTCTTTCTCAATGATCCGTTCCAAGGAAAACCATAGATTAATGGAGGTTGAGTTTGATGTGAAGATCAGCAAACCTTCCGATAAAGTACTTCCTCCAATTAATAAGAAGTTCTACATAGAATGAGAACATCACTGAATTGATGATTTCAACACAATGTAAGGTATGTCTCTACCCTAATCTGCGCTAAGATCACAAGCATTATACTTTTCAGATGAGTAGCTGGTACTTTTGATCTTGCATGGAAGAGCTTTTCTAGTGAATAGATTCATGTTTTATTCATTCTAGATGAACGCGTTGTTAGAAACTAGAAAGCTACTAAATGTACTGAAACTTGTGAAGTTGTTGAGATAAACTTTTTTGGTGTTAAGTATGTGTTATTTCTTTTGATATATGAACATGGGTACAATTTGTAGATCTCCTCTCATTTACAGTTTTCTCTTTTTACTACTAAAGAATGAAGCAGTAACACCTCTCTAACCATGTTTTATTTTGCCCGAGTTTTTTCAGTGTTTGCATGCGAGGGCGCGACTTTGGTATGTCTAGTAATGCGGAGTGCTGACTATATATGGTTCTCCAAATTCCCTTATATTGAATATCAGGAGCACTTTGATTTATCGTTTTGCTGTTTGAATATTTTGAGTAGTCCCGTTGCGAATTTAAGCCTTGTATCTAGTTTTAGAGAGTGTAGTAAGTCGGCTTTATTTCTGCAGTTGCATTTTAAAACTTGGATTCTGGTTTGCATGCCTTCAATGTTGGTATGCAGCAGGTATGCGCTGGATTAACGGCTGAAATTCCTTTTCTTTTCCCTTTTTAACCAGGATTTTCATACAGGTTATGGAAAACTAATATATTATTGTTTCTGAATCATTTTCTGTTTCATTCCGTAAAACTTAGCCCTTTATTCTGTATGGATTTAAATCCAACGCTCTTCAATTGTGATTAATATACTCGATCATCAACATTGCTTATAGTTTTACTCGGTGTCTTTTTGAAAGTAATCATATCTGGCGGCCTGCATGATGCAGTGAAGGCGATGCCAAGATCCACCAGAAAAAACTGTGGTTAAGCTTTGTCCCCAGCCAATTTTATCATTTTGTCAGTTAGGGTAGCGAACAAGATAGCCTTGTCCGATCCCAGTCCTACTTGAGTTATGTGCTCGATCCTGTTCTTTTAAGAACAACCGTGGGGTCCCGAAACAGCTTCTTTGTAATACTTCCAAAACACTACAAGTTAGTTCAGCCGTCAATCATGTAACAATCTAATGTGAGGTTCCATATCCTTGTTTCTACACTCTCTTGTGAGTTTTAACACTTCCGTTCACCGAATCATTTATGTTCTTACAATTAGACAGTTGGATTATAATCCGACTACCGTAGACTTTGAGGATCATAGTTGGTAGCAGGTAAATATTAACACATGTTTGTTTGTACTTTTCAACGATGGCAGAACCAAATGTTGATGTTTTTGAGTCAATATGGAGCACGTACCAAGTGGTTTTCATGTAAAGGAATTGTTATTTCTTAAGGATCTAGATTCAGCACTATGGATGTCTGGTGTGTGAGCGTTCAATATCAGAAGTTTGAGAGTTTATTTTTGAACAAATATTGTTTTGTATCTATCCCAGACAATTCGGCTTATAATTTTAAGAATCTAATGCCCATTTGGTGTCGAGACAAAATTTGAATCAATCAATGGCAGACCAAATCCAGCTCAAGAAAATAGCATTGGTATCAGAGTAACATACATATTAATAGGAGACATCTGGGATTAAAATATGGCATGTTCTCATCATGCATATAATTTTTTTCTCATTTCAAATTATTGAAATCTAATGGTTTACAGGTATCTAACTACCTATAAGTAATAATTTATTAACTAGTAGGATTGTAGCTAACCCAGCCTACGTATATATTAATCAAGAATATTCGAATTTGGAAACATGCTTGCAAAATCTGTATACATGGAGACAAGTGAAAATATAACGATGTAAATATTGGGTCCACTAGAATGTTGATTTCGTGGTATATGGTAAAGGTAGGAGAAGACATTTGCCTAGATGTCAATGTCGAGAGGCATGCATAAGACAAAGCACAAAGGAACAAGACAAGCCCTCCGTTTACTATGAAGCCTAGGTTAACTGCTAATCAATGGAAATGATATTATAGTTTCGATTAATCAAACCATAGGGAAATGAGAACGTAAAACATATTATATCTTTGTTTTATGTGTTTAATCATCAACCAAGTTTGAAACACACTTCATCAAAGATTAAGGTACGTCTAAACCACTAAGTCACATTAGTAATCTTATATAATACTAATGAATCAATAAAAAATATATAGAAGAAAAACCTAAAATATAAGATAATTTTAAAATTTCTGAAAGCGACTACCTCGGTCCATTTCATAATATTCGTAGTAACAGAATAAAAAAATCATCGATTTGGGTGCCCCTTTCTTCCTCTTAGAATGACAAGAAAACTTCGTAGTTGATCTATGCATCACAGTTAGGGGAACACAAATCTTGTTATTTCCCATGAAATCTCTCTCTTAAAAAGAATGTCTGGATTACAATATATTAATTATCATTGTTCAAATTAATTATTATAGTATGTGTATTATATATTTTTTAAAAATTCCATTTGAAGTAATCAACAACTAGTTGGTCTAGTGATATGAGACATTAGATCCCTTAAGTAATGTCAGGGGTAGAAACCTTAGTGATTGTGAATGGATCAAATTGAGTTGGGAGGGTTGTCATTGCCTCTGCAGTACCTGATTTAGATTGAATTATACTCTCTCTCTTATTTTACTCACCGTTCTTTTAATTTTTTTTAATTTTCTCACTGAACTTTCGGATTACTCCTATTTTGATCACTTTGAATTATTTTGTTATTGTTTTCGGATATCGTGACATTTTTTTATTGTCGTTTAATATGAAATAAAAATAGAAGATGGTCGGACACCACCGTCGGTCACCTAGATGGTGGTCGTTTGGTCCCAAATTTCATGGGTCGCTTCTTCTCGACATCGCGAGTCCAAATCCGACATCCATTTTGTCACAACTTGCTCCAAAGTCCACGAATTAGATATTAACAGTGAGAAAGCCGAAATGTTTCAGTCGATATTCATGGGTTTTGGGAAATTTTCTGATGAAACAACCACCAGATTCTGACTTAGGAGGTCAAGACGAAGTGACCCATGAAATTTGGGATTCGAACGACCATCATCCATGTGCAGTTGACTGTGGTTGGCGGTGGTGTCTGATAACCTTTTGTTTTTATTTTATATTTTCAATTATTTTATATTAAATAATAATAAAAATGTCATGTCATACCAAAATAATAAAAAAAATTCGGAGCGATCAAAACATAAACAATTCGAAAGTTCAAGAGTAAATTAGAAAAAATGATAGTATGGTGAGCAAAATAAGAGAGAGTGTATAGTTGGTTGAGGAATGGTGTAATTTAACTTTTTGATTAAATTTGTTAATTATTTAGAGTTGATAACGATAAATTAAGTGGAAATTTGGCAGGTTTTGAGACTTGAATTAAACGTGACAATTAGGCTGTCAGCAGCTAATTCCATGTGCAATCATAGAAACCAATTTCATGAATTGCATGATATTACAAAACTGTGTTGCAAATATATATTACATGCAGATATATTGGGTCAGTTCATTCTATACTCTAAAGGCAACAATGGAGATGGGGAATTTTTTTTTTGGTACACATATGAGATGGGATGAAATCAGGACCCTTCCATATTGTGGGTAAAGCAGCATCAGAAAACGTTGGTACGTGTTGATAAGTCGGGGACAACCTTAAGGGCGTTGGAGCATGATAGAAAGAGACAACTTGGCTTGTAAAATGGCTAGGTTTTGCCAGATGCACGTGCGGACCCCGAGACCGAACGGTATGAACCCGACAGGGTGTTTCGCTGCGCGTGCCACTCCCTCGGAGAACCGAGCCGGATTGAACTCGTTAGCATCGTTCCCCCGTATGGCTTGATCGTGATGAACGGCCAAGATGGGTATCAAAAGCTCGGTCCCACGAGGGATCACGTAGCTCCCCGGTTCTGCATCGACTTTGGCCTGTCTGATCGTGGCTATGGCTGGTGGGTACAACCGCAGGGATTCATTTAAGATCATGGTCAGCTGCACGCCACAAGCTGTGAACCCAAAATCAGAATGTTTTACTGGTCTAGACCCTTTTTTCCTGAGTTAAAACTATGGCTTAAACAAGGGCAAAGAGACAATTGCCTTTAATGCAACGAGAAGGGGGTGGGGGATTAGGCTTTGTTTTAACCGTCTTAAGCTTCACAACATCGTCTTTGGAAGGTATGTCACGTGATCCACACACCCTTAGCACCTTGTCATGTGCTTGCACCTGCCACTGGGGATGCATTGCTAGAAGAACGGTGGTCCACGTCAACAAATTGGATGTGGTCTGTTTGCCGGCAAAGAAAAGTTCTTGCACTCTTCGATTATGTCATGGACTGTGATATTTGGACTCGAATACGAGGCCTGCATCATTAATCCCAGCAAATCCTTTGCTCCTTTCTCTTGCACTGTGTTCCCTAAGTTCTCTTTCCGTCGTTCGATCAGCTTCATCAATGACTTCTTAATCTCCCTGCCCAATTTCCAAAAGCTTATGTTCCTCTTGGTCGGCAAAAATCTGCAAATCACGACATCCCAAACTTATGTTCCGTCATTTGATACGTGAAAAACTAGAAATTTGAACGTTACCTATAACCGGGGATGAAAACTTTTTGAAATGCCTAGGCTGCCAGCACCATTTGTTAGGCTTGCAGGCGAAAAATGGCCTTTCCATCTTCATAACTGGTCCCGAACGCCGTACGTCTAATGACATCTTCGGTGAGTGTTTGAAACCATTCGCAAACTTCGAAATCGGTTACTCTTTGTGCCACCAATGGAACCAGCAACTAAAATGAAAACAAGAGTTTTGTTTTGATCAAAAGTTGATGCGAGAAACTAATGAAGTAATGAATGGTTAAATTAATTAATTAATTACTTTGAGATTCTCCATATGGAAGATGGGGGCGGAGATTTTTTGATGATGACCCCATTTTTCGCCTTTCAGACTAAGCAGGCCTTCGCCTTCGACCTGTTTCATAACTGGGTGGGCTTCATTCTTTTCATAGAAATCGGACTTGGAAGTGAAGATTTCCCTTATGAGATCCGGGTCAGCCACGGTGAGGCGAACCGTAGGACCAAACCAGACCAGAAACGTTGCACTTGGGAGTCCATGACGAAAAACGTTAAAACACATTTACATCATCATGTTAAACAAACAATATCTTCCGTTGTAATAAACCAGAAAAAACAAAAGGAGGATGATTTTACACCAAGGAGGGAGTGGTAGTGAGCCTCAAGTAGTAAGTATCAAGTTTGCAAAAGAGGAAAACTGAGCAGGAAAGAAATGACAAGCCATTAATGAATTCTAAAGGAAATGAGGATATATAGCAGTTAGCACCGTAGCAACACATATATGTGTAGATATAATAATGGTAAGTGACGGAGGGAAGAGAGAGGAAGACATACAACTTCATTATCAGAAACTCAACCTCCTATTGAAACAAAAGCCAAAAGGAAGATGACATACAAGCAAGATGGTAAAGATGGTAAAAGTATTTTGAAAAGGATATATATATATATATATATATACATAGAGAGAGAGAGAGAGAGAGATGAGATTAAGGAGAGAGGGTGCAAGAAAAAAAGGGGGGGGGGGGAAGAAACAGAAGTGGAACCGTCCAAAAATTCCTGAACTTCAACATCAAGCTTCGAGGCTCTGAAAAAGGCTGTAAAGTTCAGAAGGGCAAGTACCCGAACTCAAAAAACGAGTTAGCGATACCGAGTTCGAAACCGTGTCTGCATACATGCACAGACAAGCATAATATGTTGCATGTCTGGTATTTTTCTTGGTATCATGTAAAATCTGATTCATGTTGCTTTTTCGATTCTACAACCATTAGCTGACATATGAAAAGAGCAGGGCCTGGCATTCACTCGGTAAATTGTGGCCCAATCCGACCATACGATCGAGAGTAATAGCAGGGCACACCTCCTGTCCTGCTGCCCCTGGTAGATAGAAATTAACCCAATTTGGGAGTGGGGTGGGGTGGGGGGCAAATTTAAGAGGGGGTAATGAGCCCCTGAAAAACAGGACAGTGTCGTTTTGAGCCCACCCCACCATGCTGGCAATGGCTAAGACCAGCTTTCATTTGCCCCACTCTTGGTTGGAATGATGCGGATTGCCTGGTGGGCATAAATAGTGCTTGACCACAGTTTAACCCCATTGGGTGTGCTCTGAACCGACACCGATTGAGACTACTTTATCACTTAGGGTCTAACTACCAGGTAGGGTTCCTTCCTTTTATAACCGAGGGAAGGGGGCCAGAGGAGCCTTTGTTTTTTTTTTTTTTGGTTAATGCATGCTATCAACATGTCCGAGGATGAGATATGATTCGCCAAAATATTTGTTATAAATTTGTAAGACTCGTACGGCCACCCATTGATGCACCAAAACACCAAAAGGGTGCTATGAATTTTTTTTTTAACATTTTGTCACAACAAAAGAGGTACGATATGGATTTAATTTAACTTAAATTGTATCAATTGGTCTTGGACTTAATTTGACCCATATTATTTGGGCTAAAATCCCATTTCCCCCTCACTATTTTTTACATCGGATCACTTGGACAAATTGGGATAAGAATCGACAACAGTTCTCATGGTTGGGGTTTGAATTTGATTCTGAATGGAAGGTTTGAAATTAGGAGAGGGGAGAGGAGAAGAAGAGTAAGGAACATTAAAAGAGCACACATAACATAAGTATTTTTTATCACTCGACCAATTAATATATCTCCAAAATAACTCATTGTAGCTCTCCGCATAATACATAAAACGAAATCTCTAGACCATTAAGCAAAAATGAATAAAACTCATATGGTACATAAATTAATAGTTTCTAACGAATACGAGAAAAGAAGATTTCTTTTTATTAAGCTAACGTGAATACGAGAATAAAAATTTGCATTGCAGATTTGTAGATTATACACGCACAAACACATAGGTTCCTTTTCTTCCATCAAGTACCTTGAATGTAAAAGGCTTAAACCCTTCCATATCCTCAAACCCTGCAAACGGAGAAGTTAAAACCTGTAATATAGAAAAATGGTGAAAATGGGAGTAATTAGTTAATGAGAACGAGGAGATTACTGTTGGAATTCTATGTTGATAGAGTTAACAGCTATGTCGGTAATCCCACCAAAAGCCGTCTCGGACAAGACAATGGTGGTGGATTGAGTTGAAGGCGGAGACTGTGCGGTGGGAGCATAGTCGACGATCTTGACTTGGATGGTCTGGTCGGGAACACAAGTCCCAGGCTGCGAAGCACTGATGCACCGTACCAGGTATTGTCTCCCGCAGGATGCTCCATTGTCCCATATCCCATCTCCAGCTGCTGCGAACAAATTGCTCGATGGAAACTGGGTCTGATCATCACCATAACACGCCGTCGCTGCACAAATGTATACTATATCAAGTAGGGTTTTCAAAGCTTAATGACGCTGCTGTGCCTGTGGATGTAATGATAACTGTTACTTACGTAAATAGGGTGGCGTGTATCGGGCGGCAGTGCCAACATCGGCATGGGAGAAATAGAAAAGCTGGGAAAGAACAAAGAGGTAAGATACAAATTGAAATACCGGCCATTGGCGGGTCTGCATCTTTGCTAACTGAAGATGGATATGTATTTCCTGCTGGTAGTGCCGATTTCCCTCTTTATGATCAACCAAAAAGAAAGATTCGAGATGAACTTGTAAGTAACAAGGGGTTCTGGATGGCTTATATGATGGGCTTGAATCGCCAAACCATAGAGTACTCATCACGCCCAAGGACGCAATAAAGGCACAGGCCATTGCATGAACGTATAGTTTGTCTCATTAATAGCTGTAAACACCACACTTAATCTTCCAATTGACTAGCGCAAATGGCTATGTAATTTTGGATAACCACGTGAAGGACGAAGCGATGAGCCGATGTCTACGGCGAGTCTGACGTGAAAATGACAGAGGAAGCTAACCGGGAACAGTTGCTTGGGAGTATAAACATTAGGGTAAATTACATTGTTCCTCACTAAACTTTACTCTCTCTCCAATTTTATTCACCGTACTTTCAATTTTTCTATTTTGCTCACTGAACTTTATAAATTGAATCATTTTGCTCACTCTGCCGTTAACTCTCTAACGGTGTGATGACATGGCACAAGCATCAAAACGACATTGTTTTGAAAAACTCAAATATACACCAAAAGACGTCGTTTCAAATCCTCTTCTCCCCCCATTTTTTGATACATGCATCACAAGACTCACATCAAAGGAATATGGATTAACGTTTCTAAGTGATCCATACGACAAAGCATTGGAAAAGAAGAACAACAGAGCAAGACTTGTGATTGCTTTTTGAATGGGATCCTGATGTTTTTTGGTTGACATGTCTTCTGAATTTATGAACGGATGTGTATTAGCTTTCCAACGGTTCTTAATTGTCTCAATCCAATATCGGGAACTCAATATATGCCCATTGTAGTGAAGATAACACATGCAGAAAATATTATACGTGTAACACCCCCAACCCGTACTTGTAACATCCTAAAATCAGGGTCAGTGACTAAATTATAAATTTTGAAAGTTTTGTGTTCAATTTAGAAATAAATTTTAAAAGTCTTGGGATTTAAGTAGAGAATTTTAATATTGGATTAAATAGCAAAGATGGATGAACTAAAGGGGCAAAATGGTCTTTTCATGGTAAAGATTTTTATCTTCCTTTTTAAGTATTATAAACGTGGGAAATATGAGAGAGTTCCAGACTTCTCTTCTTCATTCTCTTCTTTTCCACCGTGAAGCCATAAGCAAAGGTAAGTTTCTTCATTAGTTGATTATTTGTTCAACTAAAGGTTTGGTTATGATTATTGGATGATAATTAAGCTTAAGGAAAGCTTAAATCATCTTAAAAACAAAGGATGGTGGAAATAGGAGGGATTAAAGATTAAGAGTTTTTGAATGAAATTCTGGAATAGAGTTCTTTACTCAAATTGGAAGATAAATTTGACTTGTCAATGGTTGAATTAAGAGATATGAAGTGATAGAATTGAATTTAGAACAAGAAGAAAAATTAGTGTGATTCTTGAATTCTAAGTAGAGAATTAGATTTTGAAGTTAAAGATGTATTGAATGAGTAGTAATGAGTTTAAGCATGTATATGTAAGTTAAGAATAAGAAAGGGGATGATATATGAAGTGTTTGAGAGGAAATGAAGTAATTTTCGTGCTGAAAAATGATTTCTGGGTTAGGGGGAATCGGTACCCATTCAAAGGGGTATTGATACCCGCTCAAACGACAGAATTCCAGAATGTCATGAGGGTATCGATACCCCCAGTAGGGAATCGATACCCCCTAAAGGAAAATTGTGAATATGAGTTTAATAAGTTCGTTTAAGTTGCTAGTATCTAATTACAAGGTGTAGGTATCTAATGATTGCCTCAAAATGTACATTTATGTAGATTCTGCGCGTAAAGCAATTCCGGAACATTTGGCAAGTAAGATCGATCAAGGGAAAGATAAGAGATCGGAATTGACTAGTGAGGCCAAGGTGAGTGCATACTAGTGACATGTAGTGTTTAATGGAAATAAGACTTGCGATGAGTCTATTTCCTAGAGTAATATGCATGAAGTCATAAACATGATTATGTGTTGGTTATAACTATATGTGATTATATGTATTACATTGATTGTATGTATGCATGACTAAAGATAATGATATGCTTTGTATACGCTATATGATTTATGTAAGACTTTATTATGTAATAATGGAAGAACATGGAATAAGTTATATGATAGAGTCATAAGAAATGAAATAAACATGAGAGAATAAGATAATCAAGTATAAGTCATATGATATGGTATAAGTGATTATACGAGAAATGTTAGGAGACTCTAAGAGAATAGTATGAATTCGAGGGCATAAATAAGGATACATAAGTTATATAGAGAAGATTGATAAATTAAAGGAAACTATGGTTTATGTATTAAAATGAAGAGCTACAAAGTTTTATTAAAGAGTATTGTGGAAGTCATGAGAAATTGAACTAAATAAATAGATGGTTTATGTGAGTGAAAAGGGAAAATGATATAAAATAAGTTATGAAATTATAGGAATATAGAAGATATGTCGAGAGATGTAGGGAAATAGAAATAGATGTTTATTAAGAGTCATAGGAGAACAAATATATGTAATATGATAATGAAATATAAGACTATGTGGATACATGGTTATGAGATAAAATATGTAATAATAGGAAAATATGATGAAAGTGAGTTTATAAGAAGTGATATGAACTAGGTAAACATGGGTAATAGTATATGCATAATGGAAACATGAGTTGGACAAGTAAATAGTGGTATGATTTATTATGAGAATTAGTATAATGGAGCTATATGAAAAGATTATAATGAATATATGAAATTGAATTAAGTAAAGAGATTAAATTAGTACCTAAATAAAAATACTATTAAATGATATATGTTTAGAAATACGACATAATTTATAATCTAAGGGAATACAAAGAAATGGAGCATAAGGTAGATAATATGATATCCGTTATTATATATCTATATGATATATGTCATCAGGTAATATGAAAGGACTCTGAAAATTGATATAAGCTATGAGAAAGTGTTCTAGGTGTTTCTATGTGTTATATGAAGCATATATGATCATATGTGAACAAGATATGATATGTATGTTTATATGAATATCTTAGAAATAATCTAAGCTATATGATATGATATATGTGATTATGTGCACTTTGGGATATATGTTATATGATATGGATCTATGTAACTACGTGAGAAAGTATATAAGCTATGTGACATGTAAATGTGACTCATATGAAAATGTTCTATGAGTAATTGAACTATGTGTTATGTGAAATGATAAGTATAAAAGAAAATACCCATGCTATGTGTCTTGAGAGCTAGGGGTATAGTTGGCATGCCAAGAGTTGAGGGTCTACGCGGTCCTTCGGGACATATATGTATTCTTTGGAACATGTGTGAAGTCTGGTGAGACACATACTTGATCCTTGGCATATGTATATGATTCTTAAGGAATGATATATGGTCCTTCGGGACATATATGTATTCTTTGGAACATGTGTGAAGTCTGGTGAGACACATACTTGATCCTTGGCATATGTATATGATTCTTAAGGAATGATATATGGTTATTCGGGACATATATGTATTCTTTGGAACATGTGTGAAGTATGGTGAGACACATACTTGATCCCTAGTATATGTATATGATTCTTAAGGAATGATATGTAGTCCTTATGGACATTATTATATGGCACTACGGTGTAATTCTATGCGGCACTCCGGTGCAATTCTACGTGGCACTTCGGTACAATTATACGAGCTGTGGTGACAGCATAGTGCACAACCTCTATAGACTCACATATCTATAGTTCTCACATGTGTACATGGGCTTTGAAAAGAGAACATAATTTGATATAATGATATGTGTATTTCTCGTGACATGGTAGAAGTGCATATATGTCTTGGTGATATGAGAACAATGTATGTGATATATGTATATGATTTGTGATATGATGTGTGCATGATATGATATATGTGTGATAGGGGTTATGGTATCTGTTACATAATATACATGAATATATGTTGATGTATATGTAAATGAGTTGTATAATTTGATAGCATAAAACAGTCATGCATGATTAGTGGGTATGAATTCCATTAGATGTGTTTTCTTTATGCCTCACTAAGTCATCGACTTAGCGTGTGAGTGTTTCACACGCAGGTTACCAAAAGTGAATATAGAAGCTGTGAGGAGCAATACAGGTCAGCATCTCTCTTACAAGATTTCAGATCAGAAAATAGATGAGTTAAATGATTTTTGTTATTTTGAATATAGTTGGCATGTACTAATTGATTGAGTTAAATATGCTCTGATCGATTTTGGTTATTGTGGTCAAATTATGTAACTAAACTGCTTTTACTCTAAGGAAAGTTTTAAATTTTCTTTGAATTTTTACAAGAGTCAAAGTTTGAAAAGTCAATGTGACACCTCGGACTCGTATCCAGGTCGGGTACGGGTTGGGGGTGTTACATTTAATGGTATTAGAGCTAAGGTTTAGCCGATTCTCGGTATAAACCGAAGTCCAAAGTGTCATAAAATGTGTACATGCCAACATAGAGTGAAAAATTTCTGATCTGATAGTGTAAGGAGTATGTTGTCTTGCTAATAGAATAAGAATAATTTAATACAATAGAAATCCGATCGTGATAATTTCGAAGTAAGTGAAAGATGATATTCCTGACTGTGATAGCTATTCACCTGCCCTGGCCAGGCAGGATGAAGAGCGGACACCTCAAGAAATGCCTAGTAAGATCAAAAGTTGATTTCAGAAAGCTGAAATCATATCTGAATAATGATAGAAAGTTTTCATTGTTTTGAATCGAAAACACGATATTGAGTAGTTTTGTTATTATGTGGATAAGATAGAATATGGTGAACAAGTGTCACTATAAGATTGTTAAAAAGATCAAAGGATGTGGTGAGTATTTGTATAAGAATTCAAGAATAGATGCATCAGTGACAAGTGTATAAGAGATATGGAGATAGAGTTTATGAATTTAAGACAAAGGGATAATATTGTGTA